CCTCCTCCTCCTCCTCCTCCTCCTCCTCCTCCTTCTTCTTCTTCTTCTTCTTCTTCTTCTTCTTCTTCTTCTTCTTCTTCTTCTTCTTCTTCTTCTTCTTCTTTCTCCTTCTTCTCCTTCTCCTTCTCCTCCTCCTCCTTCTTCCTCTTACCACAAAAGAAACACCTGCTTTATTAATACAACAGCAAAGGAAAGGTTTTCCACAGATCACACAGCGCCCCTGGCAAGAGCCAAAATTACACTCATCACATGTGCACACCAGAGTTCAGGGACGCATGTAGGGGTCACAGATCACACACTTGACATCACACCTTTCACACAGTCTTTGGATTGGCAAAGACAACCTGCTTGCGGCAAGAGATCAAATCCAGATGATGTTTAGCCATAGCTCTGATACAAACTGGCCACCGACTCAGAATGTTACTTCTGATAGGTCTCTGTTGGCCAAGGGAAGTCATTTAGGCCAGCTTCACTCTGAAAGGTGAGAATTAGACTCTACTTTTTGAAGCAAGGAGGAGCATGCCTATATAGTGAGGTCAGGAACTGATGGAGGCCACATTTCAGGCATCTCCTGCAGCCTGGATAAACCTCAGTCAGAGTGTGACAGTGGTAGCCCCAGAATGTGTGTAATGAAATGAAGCAAATGGTCATTGCATGCTGACTATGCAACAACACCTTTGCATACATTATTACATTTAATATTTTCAATAACCCTAAGAAGTAGTGTGGCAGATTGATTTTTCAGCTCCAATTCTTCATTGTTCCCTGGATCCATGCTCTTTGCAATGTAACTTTCCAGTGCCTCTCACATGAGACATGCACAAGGAGATTATTTCCCTGTACTTTTGGTTTGTACTTCCTTGACTTTTGGCTTGGCCATACGACTTACTTTGGCCCATGGAAAGATAGTAGATATCATGCAAACAAGGGTTTGAAACGTGCTTGTCTTGTTTCAGAGAGTATGGTTGGCTATGCTCCCTGGCACTTTTGTCTTCACATTGAGAAGAATTTCTCCCAGGGTGGTGCTGCCTCTTCCACCTGGAGCTCAGAACAAGACACGTGGAACAGACTGTAGAGCCAGCTGGATTCAGAACTTGAGGCAGAGCTGTTCAGCCAAGCCTAGCCTAGGTCAGCCAATTCCCAGCTAGCTGACCATAGATGGGTGAAAGTAAATGCTTATTATTGTATGCTGCTGAGATTCTGTGGTTGTTTGTCATTGTTGAGTAATACAGTAGGCATTATTAGCTTCATTTCCCGCACTGAAGCCCTGAGCAGTTTTTAAATCAAGCTAGACTTAATACAGCACCCCAAACTGTCTGCTACACGGGTACTACAGGAGATGGGCTAAGGTGGTGTGACCAAGCTCCTACTCTGCCCTGGTGGGCATGGGGTGGGGAGCTGGAGGAGAGTATTTTCTAGGGATCTAAGTGGGAAGGCTCCTCTCTGTATTGCTTCCCTAGGAAGTTCTCAGAGATTGCTGAGCATTTTTATCTTGGGGTGTGTGTGATTTGGCAGAGGCAGGGGGGTTGCTGCTGTACTGAGTCTCATTGTTTCCTGAGGAATTTCCACTGAAGTGATGAACAGCTGAAGAGAGGGACTGTCTACAGAGCTCAAGCATGAAAGACAGCATTGTTGATTTGACTGCCTTGTGCAGTTAACTAAAAGACTCAGAAGACCCTGGGAGGGTGTTGGTCTCATAAAGAATAACTCTGTGTGTGTGTTTGGGACTTTATACCCTATAGAGCTCTAACATTTGATACTCTACGCAATGAGAATAAACAGAGGAGTTGGCATTCATCTAAGACTTGGCTTTTGATATTTATACAGATTAAAGCTCTCTTTTCTATATCCCATGCTTGCTCTCCAATGAATGATGTTATGTGACTAAATGTGTGAGAGAAATCTCTTTACCTGGCTCTGAATGAGTCCCTTTACCTCATGAAGGCTCAGTTTCCACCTGGGCAGCATGAAGCTTGCCCTAACGACCTAACACCGTGAAGGGCAAATGAGAGCCTAGATGAAGAAACACAACCTTCATCAAATTGCCGGTAGATGAGCAAATCTGTGTATTTCTGGATTAAATATTATTAATGGGTATCAAGAACCCAGAAGGATGTATTTTTATTTTATTTATTTTATTATTATTTTTTAAAGATTTTATTTATTTATTTGAGAGAGAGAGAGCATGAGAGGGGGGAGGGTCAGAGGGAGAAGCAGACTCCCTGCTGAACAGGGAGTCCGATGTGGGACTTGATCCTGGGACTCCAGGATCATGACCTGAGCTGAAGGTAGTCGCTTAACCAACTTAACCACCCAGGCCCAAGGATGACTTTTTAATTGTCTCATTTTTGCACTAAAAAATAATTTTTAAAAATGTATGTGGGGCTTGCCTCTGTCATTATCTGGCTACAGTCTGGTCTGTTCAGGTGAATGCTAATATGGTCACTGTCCACTGAAGCCAGTTAAGATCTGCAGAGAGATGTCAGCAACTCCAACGATCGTCCCTCCCATCTCTCAGCTACAGAGACACCATAGCCTGGTCATAGGTGTTGGTCCCATTGGCCACTTGCCAGATCCTCAAAGCCCCTTGACAAGGCCTTGGTGGGATCTGACATTGGCTCAGCTTCCTCTTCAGCTCCGGTCCAAGGGGGCATTTAAAGCCTATATATTTGTTTCTCTCTCTTTCATATTCCCTTTGAACTGGACAAATAATCCAAAAAAATAGAGTCTGAGAGGTAGAGGAGTTGCTTCCGTATCTCCTTTATCTATCTCTATGGACCTTCAGAAAACCAATCCCCAGACACCTTCAGTCCAACCATAACATTGAGCATCCCCTCAAGCAAATGATAACATTTGCATTAGGGGATTTGATACTTGGATGTGTCTTAACTGTGACATTAATCTGGGAAATGCTAGCAGGAACCCAATGAAGACTCTCCATCCCAAGTCCTCCTCCAATCACAAGTGTTTGTTTTAGCAGTAGAGAAGATGGAAGGATGTTCTTACCTATATTGTGGTAAAGGATCAGACTGGGGTAAGTACCAACCAGCTCATGATTCAAGCAAAGAAAGGAAAGCATTGCCTGAACAATACATTTATGGGAAATAGAGCAATTATGCAGATCCAGGAGGCAGGAAGTAAAAGTGGGATGAGGAGCATTTAGGTATAATCAAATCTCTAACATACGAGTGATTCAGGAATGGGTCCATGCCAGCCTGAGAGCAGCTGACTGCCACCACAAACCCAGTTTCCATTTCGCTCAGATGGCTTGCAAGACATTTCAACAGCAGAGTTGTAATGAGAACTTCCTTTCTAGGCAGGGAAGGGGCCAGTGCTCAAAATAACTTCAGTACCACCACCAAAGCCTGTAAAGAAAACATTTGACAAAGCGTGCACATTCCCAGAACCGAGGCTGCCTCTGGCCAGATCTCTATCCCAATGCAAAAACTGTCACATTCTGGGGCGCCTGGGTGGCTCAGTCAGTTAAGTGTCAGACTCTATTTTTTTGGATTTTGGCTCAGGTCATGATCTCAGGCTCAGGAAGTCATATTCAGAATGGTGGAGAATGGAGTGGAGAGCAGATGCTCTAGGGCAAAGCCTGGCTCTGTGAGCTATTTCAGGGTTTTCAAGAGTAAAAGGCATACAGAGTGTAATGGGCTGTCACATTCGTGCCAACCAAGAATGATAAGAAGACAGGTATGTCAATTGCATCAATGATCCCCTAACTAGAGAATTCTGTTAATTAGAAGACCCAGGTAACTTCAGGTGTAAAACATAAAAAGAAAATCTTGTGCCCACTTGAGAAATCCCAACCATGTTGAGGGGCTCCCTCTTTCCTACTCACAGGTAATACATCAAGAAAGTAAAAAAAAAAAATTGTAGGGAATTTTGTCAAAATTAATTTTGGGGGGCTCCTACAAAGTCATGTGGAGGGATGCTCTGCTAGCTTTCTTCAGTTGTGCTTACAGCACATGCCATGAAGCCTTTTCTTATGGGATTGTTTATGGTTTCCTGAGTCTGGATACTTACTTGTTTTAAACGTAAAGGTATTTACTTTTTAACTACTTAGTTGGCACCACAACTTTCAGGAACGCATGTCAGTTGAAGGAAGACAGTATTTTCTTAGTTTAGAACTCTATCAAGAATTGTTTGCCACTTGAGAACAATCATGTCACCAATGCTCATATTATTCACACTACTTGTTGCAGATACTTACGTGAGTCTGCATTTCATGGTGATTCTATGTCCAGATACAAACCCCTAAATATTAAAGTTTTTCATATTCTTTTTTTGTGTATTTGATCTGTCAAAAACTGATGAGTGTGATAAGGTCTTCCCTCTTGTAGTTTTGCTAGTCTCTTGTAGCATTTCCAACAGGTTTTTTTGCTTTTTTGCCTGATTCTACATAATTTGGTCTATAACAAATGATTATGATTGTTAAGTCTTCAATGGGAATTGCATATTTTATCATCGTAAATGACTTCCTATTATTTTATTTACTGATTTTGCCCTAAATTGAACTCTTTTGACAACCATATTAAGGCCCCTAATTTTATTATTTACTTAAAATGTACTTTTATATGGTTGCCATTTTTTTTCACATATCAGTGTTTCTTTCAGTTTTATTTTGTCTAATACCTGGATTTTTAAACAAAATCTGAGTCTTTATCTTTTAATAAAACAGTCTAATTTGGTTACTTAAAAAATGTTTCATTCCAAATAATTTTAGATTTATAGAGAAGTGTGAAGATAGTACAGAGAGATGTACCCTTCCCCTATGTACCTATGTACCTATGTACCCTTCCCCTAGCTTCTTCTGATATAAACGAACATCTTACATAGCCATGATATAATGATCAAAACTGAAATTATGTTTAGACAATATTAAGATGATGTTAAACAATTTAAGAAACTAACATTGCTACAATATTATTAATTAACCCACAGAATTTATTTGGATTTTTACCACTTTTTCCATTAATGTTTCCTTTCTGTCCCAGGACTATGCAGGATCCCACATCGCATCGAGCCATCATATCTCCTTAGTCTCCTGCAATCTGTGAAGTTTCTCGATCTCCTTGGAGTAGAGTGAATTGGGTCTTCCAGAAAGATATGTCCAAGCCCTAACCCCTGGTTCCTGTGAATGTGATCTTTATTTGGAAATAGAGTCTTTACAGATGTAATTAAGTTAAGGATCTCAGGATAAGATCATTTTGGATTGAGGGTGGGCCCTAAATCCAATGACTGCCGTCCTGATAGGAGAAAGGAGAGGAAGATTTGAGACACAGAAATATAAGAAAGAAGGCCACGTGAAGACAGAGGCTGGGATTGGAGAGATGCTGCCCCAAGCCAAGCAACACCAGGAGCCACCAGATGCTGGAAGAAGCGAGGAAGGATTCTTCCTACAGCCTTTGGAAGGAGGAGACCCTGTTGACACTTGAATTTCAGACTTCTAGCCTCCTAAATTATGAAAGAATGAATATGTGCTATTTTAAGCCACCAAGATTGTGGTAATTTGTTGTGGCAGCCTGGAAAAATGAATACAAAAACCTTGACAACTTTGAAGAGTGTTGCTAGGTATTTTGTAAAATGTCCACTGGTTTGGGTTTGTCTGATATTTTCTCATGATTATACTGTGGTTATGGATTTTGGGAAAGAATACCAGACTGGTGAAGGGTGTATCATATCAGAGGGTATGTGATATCAACATGAGTGGTGATGTTGACCATGGTCACTTAGTTAAGGTAGTGTTTGTCAAGTTCCTCTACTGTAAAGTGACTATTTTTTTTTTCATGCTCTACTTATTAGAGGCAAGTCACTGAGTCCACCCAGACTCAAGGGGTCCACCTTCTATAACTTTGCATTCTACTTTGAATCCTGGACCTGACACACATTCATTTTAAATATTCCTGGAATGTTTTCAAAAATTGTTCATAGCTTAGGCTTTTAAAAAAAACTATTAATTCCAGTTAATAGAAGTTTCACAGGCCACATTCACTTACCACAATGAAATAAAACTATAAATCAATAATAAAAGAACAAATAACATATAAAAAACTGAGCATTCAAGATACTGTCCTACAATACTTTTTGTCAATGAAGAAATGAAAAGTGTAATTATTGGCTATTTAAATAAATAACTATAATGTCAAGACTATATGTCCAAAATTAAGGAATGAAGTCAAGTTACACACAGGAAGAAATTAATGATGGTAAATATTTGTATTATTAAGCAAAGAAAAGAGGGGCGCCTGGGTGGCTCAGTTGGTTGGGTGGCTCAGTTGGTTAGGCGGCTGCCTTTGGCTTAGGTCATGATCCCAGGGTCCTGGGATCGAATCACGCATAGGGCTCCCTGCTCGTTGGGAAGCCTGCTTCTCCCTCTCCCTCTGCCTGCCACTCCCCCTGCTTGTGCTCTCTCTGTCTCTCAAATAAATAAATAAAGTCTTAAAAAAAATGAAAAGAACCCTCAGTTTGTTTCCTGCTATTAAGAATTCCTCATATCAGTGAGGTCATATGATACATGTCTTTCTCTGTTTGACTTATTTCGTTCAACATAATACCCTCCAGTTCCATCCATGTCGTTGCAAATGGCAAGATCTCATTCCTTTTGATGGCTGCATAATATTCCATTGTATATATATACCACATCTTCTTTATCCATTCATCTGTCGATGGACATCTTGGACACTGGGGAGGGTATGTGTTCTGGTAAGCGCTGTGAATTGTGCAAGACTGTTGAATCTCAGATCTGTACCTCTGAAACAAATAATGCAATATATGTTAAGAAAAAAAAAAGAAGAAGAAGGTAGCAGGAGGGGAAGAATGAAGGGGGGGGAATCAGAGGGGTAGACGAACCATGAGAGATGATGGACTCTGAAAAACAAACTGAGGGTTCTAGAGGGGAGGGGGGTGGGAGGATGGGTTAGCCTGGTGATGGGTATTGAGGAGGGCACATTCTGCATGGAGCACTGGGTGTTATGCACAAACAATGAATCATGGAACACTACATCTAAAACTAATGATGTAATGTATGGGGATTAACATAAGAATAAAAAAATAAATAATATCTAAAATGCAAAAAAAAAATGAAAAGAATAGCAAAAATAAATTCATTAGCCAGCTCAATGAATTAGAAAAAGAATAACAAAATAAGCTTAAGGAGAATAAGAACTCACAAATAATATTTTAAAAGCACGATTTGATAAATTATAAAACAGAAAAGGAGAACTAATAAGGAAACCCTCGAGCTAATTCTCTGGCTTGGAGCGGAGCCCAATGTTTAGACAACACATACTTGGCTGTAAAAGTCATCTGGATGAACTATAATGTAGCTTCAGCAGGAATCTGCACCAGGAGCCAAACCTTGGCAAAGCTGGAGGTTCAGTCTTAGCCTCACGTCTGACAATTACAAGTTTCAGAAGGATCAGCTTTGAGCACTGACTCCATTGTGGGCAGCGGGTGAGAGCATCAAAGACACCTCTTTTAAATATCCAGCTTTTGACATCAGAACAAGACCTCCCATTTGGGCACAGTGGTAGCTGTAATTCAGCAAGTTCTAGTGGCCACTGAGGAGTCTTCTAGGCTCAGTGAGACACGTCTGGGCTCTGGTACCATGCAGAAGTAAGAGTAACCAGGAAGGCTCTTTAAACATGAGTATACTCCTAGGATAGTTGAGACACAGCAGGGCAAAAAGCCTATGGCGATAAGAAGATTGGAATTTTGTTAATCTTGGAAGATGGGTTTGAGTATGGTACTTGGAGATATGACCAGGGAGCCATTCTTTGCACCTTAACTACAAAGCAGGACAATCTAATTATGTAAGACCAATTCATTAGAAGCTGCAACCCATTGCTGATTAAGTTGAATGTTTCATCTTGTATTGTGAAACAGACCTTTTAATGATGCTGAAATCATAGAAACATTTTTGTATTTGACCAAGGTTTTATTCTCCTACATCACTTAAGAGAGTTCATTCCAGATATAAATTTTTAGGGCTTATCTTATGAATTTCTTTCTTTTTCTAAGTTAAGGCAATCTAATAAATATTCCATAAATGAGACAAAATAAATCTTCCAGTGTATCTTTGACAAACTGATTGCTAGCATGCTGTTTAATGGTGAAAAAAATGGAGCTATAAGTCGAGTGTATCTGCTATCCCCTTTGTATTTTACATTGCTCTTACTGTTCTAGCCAATAAAATTGGGGGGGGTGGAAGAAAAACAGAATATAGATAATGTAATAAAGAAAGCAACATGACCAAATTTGTACTTATCATTTCCACAAGACTGGCTTCACTTCAGATATGAGCTGAGTTCCAGAGTCTCCAGGTCATTCTCACTTCTGACCAGCTGGCCACAAATTCAGCAGTTCCCCCTACAGATTCAACAATTCACTAGAACAATTCAGAACTCAGCAAAGCATTATTACTGTTACAGTTTTATTATAGCAATGGGATACAAATTAGAGCCAGCCAAAAGGAGATGCATAGGGCAAGGTCTGGGAGGGTCTCAAACATGAAGCTTTTTTTGTCGTTTCCCCATGGAGTAAAGATTGTCACCCTCCTGACACTGATGCGGAGTATTGCCAACCAGAGGAGCTCACCTGAGCTTTAGGGTCCATGGTTTTTATTGGGGATTCATTATGTAGGCATGATTAATTAAATTGGTCATGTGACTCAATCTCCAGCCTCCTCCCCTCCTCTGAGGTCAGGCTATTATCATGTTACTCACAGGTCCAACCCTCCAATCACACAGTTGGTCTTTCTGGCATAACCAACTCCTATCTTGTCATCTCATTAACATAAATTATCAGGTGTGGCCCAAGAGGACCACTGTGAATAACAAAGATGCTCCAATCACTTAGAAACCACCTTCCAGGAACCTGGGACAGAGACCAGCCAAATTCTTTATTATACACCTGCCTGTCTAATATAAAACACAACCCCTCCCCCATCTTAACTTTCTATTGACGGTTCTTCTTCCTCCATGTTATTCTCTTCCCTCAACAGTTTTTCATCTTTATTCATGTTGTGTATTTATTTATTTACTGTTTTTCTCCACCACTGGAATGTAAACTTCATAAAGATAGGCACTTTAATTGCTTTTTCCCTAGGGCCTACTTTATCTCTAGTGCCTAGAAAAGTCCATCATATAAGGGGTGCTTAGATAGATAGATAGGTAGATAGATAGATAGATAGATAGATAGATAGATAGATAGATAGATAGACAGATAAATGGCATAGAGTTGAAATTGGATGTGCTGTTAATAATGCTCTTAGTTAAGGGAGCTGGACTGTGATTTTTATTGTCTGATTTGAATCTTGTGGATCAAAGCAATGTCGGGAAAGAGGATGGTTAAAGCCTAATTTGAACATCTGGGTAGGAGTGACTTAAATGTAAGTTTGGCATACTTTCACTTTAATTTGGTTGTACTTCCTGGTATTCTTGATTGGTTATTTTGGATATTGGACAAGTGCAAAAAGCAGCTAATAGATAAATGTGTCTATTGATGTGAAAGTTCCTTGGAAAATTTGACTTTATGTGAAAATTTATTTTTTAATGTTCTGGAAGGATCCATTGCAGGAGGTTTGGGTTAAACTATTCAGTTTTGTCAGAAGTGCAATTGGGAGGAGGACCAGAAAGATATTCAAATAATGGGCAAGGGCTTGGAACAGGAAATTATCTGCTCCTCTCTGGTGCCTCTTGGGGTTATGAAGTCACTAAAACTTCTGATGCCCCTGCAAGGCAGCTCTGCATGCTCCCTGCATCTCTTCCTGACCCCTATGGGCTGAGGCACATAGGGCAAGGCACTGGTTTCGTATGAGTTACTCAGGTTATCTATGAGGCCAAACCAAACTGCACATGGGAAACTGCACAGCAGGCTTCCAAGCAGTGATTTAGAGCCTTGCAGGGAAGAGGCTTGGCACCAGCACAGCTCAGGATCAGCGGCTTCTCTCTGCAGACCTCCCGGCATCCCGGTGCCGAATGAGCTCATTTTCACTTACTCTTCTGGGGACACAGGTCAAAGGCTGCGTGTTTGGAAGCACAAGGCTCAGAGCCGAGCAAGAGATGAGAGGCCCCTGCTTTAGGTTGGAATGAAAGGGCAGTGTCTTTCCATCCACACAGGTCTATCCTCTTATTGTCTTCATAACATTATCTTACTTTTCATGCTTTTAACTCTTAAAAATTGTAATTAAGTCTTGAGTTAGTGCATAAGACTATTTAAAAATGTATGCAGAGTATGAAGAATAATGACACCGCACATACTCATGAACATCCCTCCCCTCAATCTAGTTTGAGAGAGAGGGACGGCCTTGCCGCTAGCCTGGAAGACTTCCATCCGCCCCTCCATGAACCCTTCTCTCCTTCACGGGGGTGCACAATTATACCGAACTTTGTGTTATCATTCCCTTGCTTTCAGTCATAGTTTTACCACATAAGAAGGTGTTTCTAAAATAAAATGTGTGTGGTGTTTAGTTTTGTATGTTTTTGAACTTTATGTAAATATGTTTTCTTCTGCATTTTGCTTTGTTGACCCAACGTTGTTTTCCAGAGAGTCCTCCATGTTGTTGTGCATGGCTGTGATTAATTTGGTTTTCTCTTTGTGATGTTTAGTATTCTACCAAGTAAACATATCACAATTTATTTATCTGTTCTTCTGTTGGCAAACATTCGGATTGTTTCTAGTTTTTTGCTGTTCCAAACTCTGCGGCTGTGAACATTCTTGTGACATATTTCTGGATGACAATATGCGAGAATTTCTCTAGGATATATACCTAAGAGTGGTAGTGTTGTGTCATAGGAAATTCACGTCTGCAGGTTATTAGACAATGCTGAATTGTTTTCCAAAACAGTCGTACCAATTCATGCTTGCTCTGGCCATGTACTGCTACTCCACATCCTCTCCAGCACCCAATATTAGACTTCTTCAATTGCCAAAAGGTTGGGTATAAAATGATTTATCACTATGGTTTTAATATGTATTTTCCTTTTTATGAATGAAGTTAATATCTCTTCATATCTAGATTCACCATTCTGGGTTCCTCTTCTTCTAGGAACATATTTGTGTCTGTTTTTCTATTACTTACTCATCTTTTTCTTGTTGGCATGTAGGAGTTCTTTATATAATTTGTGTACTACTCTTTTATCCAGTTTATGTGTTGCAAATATCTCTACTAGTTTGCGGCTCGCCTTTTTGCTCTATTTTTGTTGTCTGTGGATAAAAAGACATTCTTATTTTTAATGCAGAGAAATTTATCAATATTTTATTTTGTGGCTAGATCTTTTTCCTGCAAAGTTTAGCAAATCCTTCCCTCCATCCACAGTCCTGAAATTATTGTTCTATATTATCTTCTAAGGCTTTTTATTTTACCTTTCATATTTAGGCTTTTAACATACATGAAATTGATT